TCCTGCCCGGTGTCTAGCTCACAGAGGGGATGCAGGGAGTACAGGTTGCATGACTGCCTCACCTGCTTCCTTCCCTCCCTTATCTCCTCTCTTTGCTGTGCGCCAGGCCATGAGGTTTCCTCCCAAATCATACAACAAGGACTTGGAGTCTGCAGAGGTAAGCTCTGTGCTTTCTGGGTGAGACTGAAAGGTCAAACTTCCACACAGAAGGGGAGGCGGGGAAGTGTCTGGAAGGGCTGGGAGTTGCTCTGAAGCTTTGGCCTCACTTGCCTCTCTGCCCAGGAACGGCGTGAGCGAGAACAGCAGGACTTGGAGTTTGCCAAGGAGATGGCGGAAGATGATGATGACAGCTTCCCTTGAGCTGGGGGGCTGGGGAGGGGTAGGGGAAATGGGGCAGGCTTTTTCGCCCTTGGGGGTCCCCTGCCCAGAGTATTGTCCCCATTTTCCCACACACAGCTCATAGGCTGCACTCGTGCAGGGGGTGGGGGTGCTGGGAGCCAGCCACCCTGACCTCCCCCAGGGCTCCTCCCCAGCCGGTGACTTACCGTACAGCGGGCAGGAGGGCGGGCAGGTGACCTCCCCGGGCAGGGTCCTGGCCAGTGGTGTGGGAGCAGGAGGGGAAGGATAGTTCTGTGTACTCCTCTTGGGAGTAGGGGACTGGAACTGGGATGTCTTGGCTTGTATGTTTTTTGAAGCTTCGATTATGATTTTTAAACAATAAAAAGTTATCCAAAGCGCTTTGTGCATCAGTTACTATACTTCACTGCAATATTGGCAGGCTCAGATTTTGGGTTTTTTGGCCTTAGAGTACTAGCCCCAGGTGTGTAATCTGAGGGCCTGATGGGTCTGCAGATGGGGAGGTGCCCAGGGGAGGATGAAGGGATCCTGAGCTGGGGTCAGGGGCCTAGGTTTACTCTGTTTCGTACCTGTGTGGCTTTGGTAAGGTCTTGTTAGGGAAGGTGTACCATGCGTCCACCACCAGCTGCAGACCTTCACATCCCAATACAGGCATCCGGTGGTGCTTCATGGATATTATGGTTTTTACAAATTGAAGGTTTGGCCGGGCATGGTGGCTCATGCCTGTAATCCCAAAACTTTGGGAGGCTGAGGTGGGCGGATCACTTGAGGTCAGGAGTTTTGAGACCAGCCTGGCCAACATGGCAAAACCCCGTCTCTACTAAAAATGAATTAGCTGAGCGTTGTGGTGGGCGCCTGTAATCCCAGCTACTTGGGAGGCTGAAGCAGGAGAACTGCTTGAACCTAGAAGGCGGAGCTTGCAGTGAGCCGAGATCTTGCCACTGCACTGTAGCCTGGGCGACAGAGTGAGACCGTGTCTCAAAAAAAGAAAAAGAAAAGGACAAATAGAAGGTTTGTGTCAACCCTGCATCAAGCAAATCTGTGGGTGCCATTTTCCCAACAGCATATGCTCACTTAACACCTCTGGGTCACATTTTGGTAAATCCTCTCAATATCTCAAACTTTGTCATGAGTGTATCTGTTCTGGTGATGTGGGATCAGTGATCTTTGATGTTACTATTGTCATTGTTGGGGCACCACAAATTGCACCCATATAAGATGGTGAACTTAGCCAGCCATGGTGGCTCACGCCTGTAATCCCAGCACTTTGGGAGGCCAAGGCAGGTGGATTGCCTGAGGTAAGGCATTCAAGACCAGCGTGGACAACATGGGGAAACCCTGTCTCTACTAAAAATACAAACAATAGCCAGGCGTGGTGGCAGGCACCTGTAATCCCAGCTACTCGGGAGGCTGAGGCAGGAAAATTGCTTGAACCCGGGAGGCGGAGGTTCCAGTGAGCCAAGATCGTGCCACTGCACTCCAGCCTGGGTGACAGAGTGAGACATTGTCAAAA